CCAACCTTCTGTGTGATGGATCCCATCCCTACCAGCTTCATGCTAGAGTTTGTGGATATTCTCCTTCCGGTCATTACACAGATCGTGAATCTCAGCCTGATCTCAGGACACGTTCCAGAATGCCTGAAACAAGCTACTGTGAAGCCTTTATTGAAGAAACCAAGCCTTGACACTGATGACTTGGCCAATTACAGACCCGTCTCAAATCTATCCTTTGTGTCCAAAGTACTGGAAAAAGCTGTGAAGACCCGCCTTACTGCTCATTTAAAGAACCACAGTCTATACGATGAATTCCAGTCAGCGTATCGGAGCAATCACAGCACTGAGACAACTTTACTCCATGTAATGGATACCCTGCTTGGAGCGGTAGACTCTGGCAAGGCCTGTGTACTCGTCCTTCTTGATTTATCGGCAGCGTTCGATACGATAGATCACAAACAGCTTCTTGATTGTCTACAAAACCGTTTTGGATTAGGCGGCTTTGTTCTAAGATGGTTTTCCTCATACCTATCAGAACGATCTCAGTTTGTGCTCATCCAAAATACTAGATCGCAGACATGCAACCTTTCATGTGGTGTCCCGCAAGGTTCCGTGTTGGGACCGATGATATTCACCCTCTACACCAGCAGTCTTGGGGACCTTATTACTCGGCATAACATCTTACATCATTGTTATGCTGATGATACCTCAACTTTAAGAAAACTCAATGTTAATGATGCAAAATCACAAGTTGCAGAAGTTGAAGTGTGTGTAGGCAATGTGAAGACATGGATGACAGCAAGTAAACTCAAACTAAACGATAACAAAACAGACATTCTCATGAAGCTTGTTCACCAGCCAACAGAGCTAAACTGAGTGTGAATTCACTTAAGATAGGTGAATCTCAGATCTCCGTGAGCCCTACAGTAAAAACCTGGGTGTCATGATAGATTCTACACTTTCTATGGAGCAACACGTCAGCAACTTATGTAAAATCTGTTATCATCCGCATAAGGAATATCTCCAGCATACGCCACCTATTAACAACTGACGCAACACACCATCTTGTAAGTTCTATAAGGTGTTGTCCCTTGGACTACTGTAATAGTCTGCTTGGTAACATGAACAAAGACCTGCTCTCCAGGTTGCAAAAGTCCAAATGCAGCTGCCAGATTGATCTGTAGAACCACCAAGCACAGTCACATCTCCCCAATCCTCATGCGTCTGCATGGTTACCACTCCCAGCTAGGATTGAATACAAAATACTTAGCATGACTTACAGATGTCTTAACAACTCAGCTCCATCCTATCTCTCTAGTCTTGTAAGGGGTATGTTCCAACCAGGACTCTGAGATCAGCCAATCAGTCGCTGCTCATCATCCCAAATGCACGTCTGAAGACATATGGACACCGACGTTTTTCCTACTTGTCAGCTATCCTCTGGAACAATCTGCACGTGTCTCTCAAAGAATCCCCCTCAATAGCCAGCTTCCAGTCTAACCTAAAAACTTTCCTGTTCAAGAAGCACTATGACTTCTAAATGAACTCCTATTGTAAATATGTATATAGTTAGCGCCATGAGCAACCACTTGGTGATTGGATATAGGGCGCTATACAAATGGACTTATTATTATTATCATTATTATTATTATTATTATTATATTCAGAATGAAGAAACAGAGACTTATAATATTGTAGACTTGTTGGGACTGAATGGTCGTATCAAAATGAAGACGTTTACGACAATGGACAGGGTGGGTGTCAAGTTCCCATACGCTTGGTCTGTGTACAGAATATGGGGATCTGCGGCTGTCCCACTATATGTCATCGAACCCCATACTCGCTCATGGTTTGCCAGACCTAAATTATTACACGAAATTGCGATAAGAGGTTCACTTATTAGTACTGGAACCTATTAATATGATACTAAGACGAGAAGGAGTGGAAGGGATTAGAGAAATAGCTGGAGAAAGAGTCAATTCATATTCATGTTGAAGTCCCTGTTCTTGCTATGAATATTTCGTTAGTTACGGCGTTTGTTGTGGCGGTTAACATTGCCTGAATCATGGCCTGCACAGATCCTATCACCCTATACACGTATTCATACACCGATAGCTCTGAAAACGGAGATATGGAGCTTCATTAATGATGCATGTGTGCATGATACACACGACACATGGACCCACGCATACACGTGTAATGGAACCAATTTGGATGTACATTACAAAGGGATCCAACGCGATTGGAGATTCAGACCAGCGAAATATTAGACTGGTTTTCATTGACATTTCTTTGAGGACTGGGTGGAAAGAATAAATATAGCTCAAGGACTGTTAGACTGATTATCTGTGAGCACGTATCTTCAGAACTCGTTCTTGCGAACCGTGCCAAAGCATACAAATGCCTGGACGTCTTTTAAAAGGGCGCTGATCCAGAGCAATTTCCGTGGAGTGGTTGTTGTTTTGTTATTGTTTTCTCCGGTGAGTACTTGGATGACATCCCAGAAGTCTTGACTGGTTCGTGGACTCGGCTGCGCCACCCGCATGGGCAATTGATAGTATAAGTATAGATTGATCAACAAAGATGAAATCTTGTTTACTCGATAATATTTCCATCTTCATTAGTATGATAACATATGAAAACATTTTGAATATCTGCCAGTGGTAAAATGTTAGGACTGAAAATAACAAAGACAATATACGTCTTTATATTTTGTCATATAATCCTAATTAGTTTATTATCATATTAGTATGCATTTTTTAAACTTAATGAAAAGCACACGATCTGGTTATACTTGTAGTGAATTTATAACATGACGGTAATATCTAGACATTTATAGATTGCCAACATAATCGTATTTCACACACTCGCCCTATGTGCGACCTAGTGTATCTTGTCTATCTCATTGCACTTCACGGCGAAAAGAAATGATTATGTTGAATGCTACAACAAATGAATGAAAATGAAAACAAAATGCAAATATTAAAATTAAAACAGACTAAAGTTATAACAACAATGTCAGGCTATTACCTTGTTCGGGGAATGTATCCATCAATATCCACATAAAGGAATGATATGCCATTCATCTGCAGCTGACAAAGAATCCTGTTCCATGTCGTGTGTCTTTTAACAGTGTAATATGCGAAAAAGTGACGTATCGTTTCAGGTTTTTCACTTTACGACAGGGTGTTGTCAGTATATATTAGTAAATCTACATACATAAACACCACCTTATGACAAATCCGCTGTGCAAGACAAAAGTAATTAATCAATCAGCGTGTTATCGGTTAATCCTTTGATCATGTTTGTATTTGTAACTCTGCTGAAAATCCCTCTTGCTGCACTTCCATGCGCATATTACATAACATGTAATACATTTGCCGCATCAGACATTGATTTATAATGTTGAGTATTTACTCCAGACACGAGAAATGCCAAATGGGAACCATTATCTGGTAATCTGAGTGGTGTTACCACTAATTATACCTGTTATAAATTCATTAACTGACCATCAAGTGATTGATGACAAATAACATATGTAGGTTTATACCACCAAACATGGGTTACAGCAAAGGAGTAGTAATCGCTGTATTGCATGCAATTTTAATTGCCTGAAACAACTTATGGGCCGAGACTGTTTTGAGGATACAAACGGAACTTCATTGTTGCAAATATGCATTACTGTGTACTTAAGTTAAAAGTATATATACCTATTTACCTGTAAGTACATTTTCAGATTTTTCTAGCCATGGCAAAGTGGGGTTGTTTAGTTTAAGGGTTCAAATAAATCAAATGTGTGTCTTAATATCATAGGTAATGGGCATCGTATTTTTACGTCACATAATTAAACATCGAGGTAAAAAACACAAAGGATCAAATTGGATCAGTCACTATACCATCTGGGCATTAGAAAATCCGAAAAGCCTACACTGCTGGGATAGTTTATTACAATCCGACAATAACCACCGGGGATATTTTCAAATAACGGCATCTCATGGGCATCCACCCTTCCCACTGTTTAGGTTGAAGAAATGCTGCCCAGGTGGACAATAGGCCAGTCCCCGGGTCCGTCACGGTCGAGGGAGCAGGCACTGACCAGTTTGCAGCTAGGTTTCGTAATGAGAGTGCTGGCGAGAAACATTAATCGCTCAGACGTTTTTTGGTTTACGCGACTTCACCCGTTTGAGAAAAACACGTCTATTTTGTGGGCTAGACGTTTGGACACAGGTGAAACATTTGGGAATGATTGAAAAATGATTCTGAAAATGTCATTAAAATAAAGGCGGTAATATATTTTCTTTGAATGAGAAATGTTTTTGACTTTACATATTTTATTTGTAAATCAACATAAACATTATTTTTAATCAGGCTGAACTTGTCTCTCAGGTGAAATTTCTCTTTATAATATACACTTGGATTATTCAAAATGAACTTTCAGCCAATGATGCTTAGTCTCTTTGTATTTTGGCAATTCCAAATGACCAATGAAAATAGCTGTAGCAAATTAGGAGCCACGTGAATAAGTGGGTACGATAATCCGAAATAATTGACCCGCTTTACTTCATGGTTAATGTGGAAATTTAGTTTCTATAAATCTCTAATTTAAACACATACTGTATTTTTAGTGATCAAAAACGTAAATAAACTCATACACTTTAAATTCAAAACAATATTACGTAATAGAGCACACTTGTACCAGTTCAGTGCATAATTTCGAATTGCAGAATCGGAAATACAATCCATTTTAGAATCACCCATTAGCTTTTCCTGGAATTTAGTGAAAGACCGACTGGTTTCCTAGAATCGGTTCGATAGGCCTTTTCAGTAACACCGTACATGTTATACCCTCTTAGAAATCACTGTGCGAACCCACGCGCACTTATAGACGCTGGCCCGGCAGTGGCACTATGTAGGACCATGTTTCCTCCGTCCGTCACCAGTACTTCAGTTCAAGACACGGTAAGACATGACTAAGACCTTTGATATGAAATTCATATCCTGGAGATGAGAGTACCGTATTTGCGATGCTAGTACCGATCTCTAATAGAAGCAAGTCTCTAATAGACGGATGTTTGGTCATCGTGATGCTCTTGAAATCAGCTTCACCCCACCCCACCCTAAATCATCTCACGCCCTACTCACTAAATTTCTTAATTTAGCCAGGTGCCTCCAACGTTGCCTTTTAAAGGCTTTTCTTGTTGAATGACAGAGCAACAAGCACAAAGCGCAAAAGCTACCGACCTTGGATGCAGTCGCGATCGAACATGAGAGAGATTAGGGAGAGACTGTCTTGACTCAGCTTAGTTACAAAGAGTTTATACAGTAGCGGTCCGAGATCAACAAAAGCCTCTGTAAAGCTTTTGTCAGGCCTTTATATCTCCCCGCTATTGTATATACCAGTTTTTCCTGATCACATGACACTATGCTAGCTCTATGTCATGTTGACCTCGAGGAAACAGTTTAATGTGAATGAGCTGGTTACAGGATACTATTGGGATCACTCGGCAAGGTAAGTGTTAAATATTTTGCTTGGGGGGTAACATTGTGCTGTATGGTATGATCAATAATTCCGCTCTGACGAAACCTCTATATAAATCTCTAATTTAAACACATACTGTATTTTTAGTGATCAAAAACGTAAATAAACTCATACACTTTAAATTCAAAACAATATTACGTAACAGAGCACACTTGCACCAGTTCAGTGCATAATTTCGAATTGCAGAATCGGAAATACAATCCATTTTAGAATCACCCATTAGCTTTTCCTGGAATTTAGTGAAAGACCGACTGGTTTCCTAGAATCGGTTCGATAGGCCTTTTCAGTAACACCGTACATGTTATACCCTCTTAGAAATCACTGTGCGAACCCACGCGCACTTATAGACGCTGGCCCGGCAGTGGCACTATGTAGGACCATGTTTCCTCCGTCCGTCACCAGTACTTCAGTTCAAGACACGGTTAGACATGACTAAGACCTTTGATATGAAATTCATATCCTGGAGATGAGAGTACCGTATTTGCGATGCTAGTACCGATCTCTAATAGAAGCAAGTCTCTAATAGACGGATGTTTGGTCATCGTGATGCTCTTGAAATCAGCTTCACCCCCCACCCCCCCCTAAATCATCTCACGCCCTACTCACTAAATTTCTTAATTTAGCCAGGTGCCTCCAACGTTGCCTTTTAAAGGCTTTTCTTGTTGAATGACAGAGCAACAAGCACAAAGCGCAAAAGCTACCGACCTTGGATGCAGTCACGATCGAACATGAGAGAGATTAGGGAGAGACTGTCTTGACTCAGCTTAGTTACAAGGAGTTTATACAGTAGCGGTCCGAGATCAAGTCCAACAAAAGCCTCTGTAAAGCTTTTGTCAGGCCCTTATCTCTCCCCGCTATTGTATATACCAGTTTTTCCTGATCACGTGACACTATGCTAGCTCTATGTCGTGTTGACCTCGAGGAAACAGTTTAATGTGAATGAGCTGGTTACAGGATACTATTGGGATCACTCGGCAATATTTTGCTTGGGGTGTAACATTGTGCTGTATGGTATGATCAATAATTCCTCTCTGACAAAAACCTCTCTCTGGCCCATCTTTCAAGTAGTACAAGTTCGGCTCGTTGGCTTTGATGTCCACTTTATCTATGTTGTAAGTTTTGACTGACCATGTCGGATCGGTGGCTCGTTTCCGAGTGTCCCCTTTGTGTTCCCCCGGCTGGTAGAGGTACCTCTCGAGGGCCCTATCGGGTATCTGTTTCTCCTTCCCACGCGATGGTGCAGCCAGTTCGGCTATCACTGATTTCAGTTTGATAGCGTCGGCCGGTTTCTTGCCGGTGAGACGGGTGGTTTGTGGTTGATAGCCGACACCACCTGAGGTAGCCGCGCTACCCATTCCGTCGATCGTTTTTCTGGGTTGACCATCTCTCTCGCATACTTGTGTCCGAATAAGCGCTCGGCCAAAGTCCGATTGAATCTCTCAACTATGGCTTGACTGCGATGAGCCCCGTCAGCGCCACGCCTGACCTTGGTATCGTGTTTGGTTAGCAGTTGTGACATGTCACCCATGAACTCCAGCCCGGGGTCTACTTGCAGCTCTGTGGGCCATGTCAGCGGACTGCGTTTGTATATGCGTTCGAATCCCCGGGCTACTTGGGCCGAGTCTTTCGCGGTCAAGGGTTCGGCTTCCTTGTAGCGGCTGGCAACATCAACGATGGTTAGGGCATACTTGTACCTCCTGTCGTGGGGTAGGAACAGGAGGTCGGCCTGGTGAACGCTATTGGGTACGGTAATACCGAACTTTCTTCTAGGCACGTAGCATGGGGCAGGTAAATAGATCTGCCACAGGGCTTGTTTTTCAAGCCACGCTTTGGCCTCGTCCGGGGGTACTTGCGCCATTTTAGCCAGCTTATGTACGGCGCTAGCTCCTTTCCAGTACCCACGCGGGCTGTAGTAAATAGCCTCAAACTTTCTCTGGTTCCGTGACATCCCGACATATATACACCTATGTTCTTGGTTCAATTTTCTCATGCCCGTACGCGTACGTGTTTATCCCGTCGATGGCTATCTAACGCTTTGTGTCCATCAGCGACAGGGACGTCTTGTTTATCGTCAGTACGTATATCCTGTGCCCGTCGCTTCTAAGCGTGTTCATTTGATGCCTGAAGGTGCGGGTCTTGAACAGGGCTTCCTTGAATATGGCGTGTTTGATGTGTTGTTTCACCACGTACTTCTTAACACCCTTAGCCTTTCGGATCTCACCATTGTCGGCCTTCAGGATGGAGTACATCTTGGGTCTCAAGCCTATGTACTCAGCTATGGGTGTGCCGGCACACTCGTCCTTCATCTTACCGAGGACCTTTTTATTTACCGTGCTGTGTATGGCATGGCCCTTGGGGTAGTCGCTGGTGTCGTACAAATCGAGGCGTTTCTTCATGTCCTCGTACACGTCCTCGGTTCGAATCTCCATCAGCAGGGAATCAATGTCCGTGTACAGCACTTCACACCTGGCGCCGTACTGCTTCTTGAGCTCATTGTAGTAAAAGTCGTACATCAGGTGTTTGGATAAATCGAGGATGCTCATCCCCATGTAAACAGGCCGGTTGAATTTGATGTGGCTTTTCTTCATGTGTAGGGCCACCAGGTCGTCGGTGAATATCTTGCTCCGGTTGAATGCTGGGCTGGCTATCAGTTTCCTGAGCTTGTCTTCCTCTTTAGACCGAACCAGCTTCAAGGTCACGCGTTTCCTCAGGTTCTCCATTTTCTTACCAAACACCGAGTTGTTCATGAGCTTGTAGAGGTTTTTCTCAAAGTCACTGGTGGCCAGCTTTTGCAGGTCCGTGTTCATTCTGATGTAGGGCTTCATCCAGGGGCTCTGGTCGAACACGAGCACCCTGTGTATTTTGGTCAGCCTCATACCCAACGACAGGTACAGCTGTAGGTTGCGATAATGAACGATGTACTTGGTCTTATTCATTAAGTTGGGCACAAGTTTTTCAACGTCTGCCACCCGCCCACCCAGCAAGTTATGTTGGTACTCGGACATCCAGTCCGGGTTAACCCTCAAACGTTCGGGGGCCAGGGGGTAGCAGTTGTGTGATGTGTGCAATGCCTTGGGGTCTTCCAAGTCCACTTCGAGGATATAGCCTTTGTTCGAATCCGGCACGATGCTCATAACATCGTTCTCGGACGATGCCCATTCGAATCGTCCTGTGGGTAGATACTGGCTCATGACCCAGCCGTACAGGTTGTTGGCATCGAGGTAGAGGATGTGAGTGGTTGGCTTGCTCGAGTCGTAGCCCTTCATGTATTGATTATTGGCTTTTGCGTAGCATTTAGAGGCCATGGAAATCCCACCTCGCAAGCCTTTCTCAATGAACAGGTGCATGTCGTAATCGGTGAGCAATTCCAACTTAACTCCGGTTTTCTTCAGCAAGGCATCCCAAGATAGACCTGGGCTGGTGTAGTACCATGCCCGGCATCCTGGGTAGCATCGTCTCGTGGCTGCTCAGCACGCTGGCTAAAACTGTCATGTGGCTCGGCCAAAACCTGTGGGCAGCCATCGTCGCCGTGGAGGGTCTGGTGTACGTAGCGGCTTAGGAATTTTTAACCAAATGAGCCCCAAACCAACCGCGATCCCGCTAACCACCAGCGCTGTTTTACGGTCGATGTGCTGCTGATTGGACGCCTGCACCTGTGGGGATTTGGGCCGTGGTGGTGTGGGTTGAACCCTGGGCTCCGGGGGTGGTACGACTATACCCGTTTCACTGGTCGTGGGAGGCTGTACGTTGGGGACGTTGACATCGGGGTTGATGCCCGGCTTCTGGTCGGCTGGGGCTATGGTTATTTTGTTGTTGTAGCCCACCACTTTGTTGATTCTCAGTCGCATGTTGCTTAGAGCCATGTACAGTCCCACGTCGAACACGTAGTCGACTTTCGACCGGGCATATTCCAACACGTCTTGGTATCGTCGGATGGCACCCGGTAGATCAACCGGGGGAGGCTATGGCATCTGCGCACCCAACAGCGCCCACACGAGTCGTTCAAGCGTTCAGTGCCGGCACGAGTAAACCCTTTCGACGTGTCCAGCATATATACTTTCCAATTGTCTTCAACGTAGGGGGGTTGCTCGACCTTTTGGATGGTGAAACCAACGTCGCCTGTAAAGTCCATACGGTCATCTCGCCATTCGTTACTCGACAGAGCAAATTCTGGCCGAAGTAAACCTCGTTTCAGTAGATCATCGCTGGCTTCTTTCACCGGTTTTGGCCCACTGTGTATGGGTTTAGGAACGAGGTTGGAGAATGCATGGAAGAAATTATCGAAACTAAACATATGGTGCTTCATAAAGTTTACCACTGTATCTTTTCGTGATGCTTTTACGGAGAGCCCATCACTGTACGGAATACCCAACCCGTGGTTCAATCCTCCCCCTCCATCGGTAGAACCCAAGGTGACGTAGTAGATGTCTCAGGAGCGGCCCTCAACACTCGGTTTGACCTAGTCCGCAATGGTGATGATAGATGCCTCGTTCGGAGGCAAACTGTTCGACTTAGAAGATGTTGATAGCACGACCGTCGCCTGAAACAAGCAGTATACCCTCATCTTCACCAACGACGACAAGTGGGTGTTGTTACCCTCTCGAGTAGATTGGTTTCTCAACATTAGGCTCGGCTCCCCCTACGTGTTCACGGAGAACAAAGACAACTACCTAAACAAAGTCGTGAACAACGGAACCCTGCTCGTGGCTTACGTCCCGACGCAGAGGCGTAGCGTAGTCATCAGCCCAGTGTCGAGTGCTACAGCCCACATGCTGTCGAGTAAACCGGGAGTACAAGACGGGGCATTGCATTTGGTGTCTGAATTCGCTGGCGTGGTCAACATCCTGGCAAGCCTACCGGCGAACTCCACGCTGGTCATCCAAGTCTACCTAGGGGAACCATCGCAGGATGAAGTCGAAATTGTGAAGGGGATCAAACTCCTGTGGGTGAAACGGCACCAGTATCAGGTTTGCACTGTTTACGTGCGGGTGGGTGTCGACTCCCACACCAGTCTGTAGGGGGTCACCGTGACCGTGGAAGACACGATATCACTCACCAAGATCTTCCTACCCGACAACATACACTTCACCCCTGAGAAATTATCAGAAAAACAATTGGAAACTATCTCGTAATAGTATCATAGCAATGTCCAATCGTCATCGGCCCAACGCCACACTTAACGATCTAGGAGACACGGAGGGATTCGATCAGCCCGGCGAGGAAGACACCTCGTACGTCCTGCCCTTAAGAAACGGTGTGTACATGCGTGCGGCGGCGTCTGCCAGACGGCTTTATAGAACCCAAATGGTTGCTCAACATGACCCTCACCGAACTTTATATCTCGTTAGACAAAGATAGGTATGTCTCCGAAATTAGGAACAATGGTATCTTGTTCGGGGCTTTCGGTCCGAAGTATAGTATAAGTACTCAACTAATACCGGATCACACGGACAACATGTTAGTTGCTTCAGGCTTGGAGGACGAGTTAAGGTTTGACGTCCCCAATTCCCAATTGGGCCTTATGAAGGTGAACCCAGGGTCCACACTCGCCATAGAAGTCTACTTCATGGAGGGGGATCCCGTAGAACAGCAACTTTTACCTGGGTTGACAATACACTATAGAGCCCTAACCCTGGGCGAACGTTGCCGTATCATCATACAACCGGACCCCTCAACGGGTTCTATAGTCCCCTCAGTAAGCCTCGATGATGTTCGTGTGGACGCAAAGTTACCTATTTACCTCTCCCCTATTTCCCTGTACGAGGGTCTAAGACTTGTAAGCTTCAAATACACTGTGCAAAAAGTAAATTACGCACATTTTAAAGATATTTTTTAGAATATATTATATGCACAGTATGGGCCTGTACCCAGTCGTAGAGGAAGTCGCGAAGACCCTGGAAACCGTAGACGGGTTCGCGCTTGAGACAGTTATGTGATGTAAAACGCCAACTAGAACAAGACCACGACACGCGGAAAGCACTATATAAAAAGTACCATAGAGCTTTCAATATCGTGGACGGGACTGATACTGCCCTTACGACAACCAGCATGGGACTAGGGGCGGCAGGTGTTGGGTTGTTAGCCACCA